TATGTATATGTCTCTTTGTTTTCTAGAAGAAACATAGGCAAGAGGCTCAGAGAGCCTGGGTAATCTGCCTCGGGTCAACCCATGGTAAGTGGCAGAACCCAAGCCTGTCCAGTTCTAAAAACCTAGGTTCTGAACCCCTCTAACAGATGTCTTCAGCCCTGGCTGTGCCTCAGGATCATCTGGGAGTCTTGCAGAAATAATTCAGAGACCCGAGACTGTGGTTCAGTAGGCCAGAAATGAATGCAACTGGGCATTTCTCAAAGTTCCTTGGGTGATTCTGCTGGGCTGTCAGGGCCTGGAAAGACAGGCTTGGGCTGGAATCCACAATCACTGAGGCACCAACAAGAGTAGCTAACATTTTATGTGCCATCACCATGCAAGTAGCATCTTTACACGTATTAGCTCAGTCGGTTCCCTCCACAGCTCTGAGACAGGGGTTGCTAGTGACCCCATTTTACAGATGAGAAAATCGAGGCACAAAGATGTTAAACAACTTGCCACCAGTCCCCAGCCCTGGGAGTGGGCCAGGGCCAGGCCCCATCTGTGCTTTCCTTGGACCCCCGCCCCTCCCCAACCCTCACTCCTCCCTACAGCACCTACCTCTGCGGAGGAAGGGGATGTGGTCATCTTCCACAGAGCCAGGGGGCTCCCCGGGCTGGAAGTACATCACCTCCTGGGGATGAGACTGCAGCAGGTTCAAGCGGTGCAGACGCTTCTCTGGAGGTGGTGACATTAGAGAGTAAGAGCCAGCCCCTCAGGGTCAGAGGTTCTGCTCACAAATCAGAGCAGGGCAGGAGACCTGGGCAAAGCACTGATCATCCCGACAAGAATGTAGTTACCCCTTCCTGAAGGCTCACTGTGTACCCGGTCTATTTATTCCCTCTGAGCCTCAGAGGCAGATACCCCTCCTATTGTCAGTTTTGTGCCCATTTTACAGATAGGAAATTGAGGCTCAGAGAGACGAAGCCATTTGCCCAGGTTCACACAGCCTGTAAGAGGCAGAACCAGAATTCAAACCTGGGGCTATTTGACCCCAGAGCCCCTGTTTGTAGTCACTGCACTTGATTGCTGTGGGATCTTTGTGTGTTTCTGCCCTAGTGCCTTAGAGGCTAGGGAGGTAGAGGGCAGGCTGGATGACCCCTTAGAGACAGGTGCCTGACTCGGCTGGCTGTCCCTCCCACATCCCAGGCTGGCGCCTGCCTCCGCCTACACCCTTACCTATGCTCCTCAGCCGATGGAACCAGCGGGCCGTGTGAGGAAAGTGACTGTAGAAGTTTGGATTGGGGGCGCCCAGGAGATCAAGAAGCACGAAGAGCTCCTAGAGAGAGAGGCCAGGCGGGATGTGGCCAACCTTGCACGGCCCTCTCCCTCCCTCACCGGAACCCAGTGGGGCCCTGGTCTTACGATAGCCTGGATCCTGGTGGGGCCTGGGCTGTGGGGTGCAGACTCCATGAGCTGGGCCAGGTGCCGGGAGCCATAAAGGGAGTCCTTGGGTCCCCACTCCTTCAGTGCCTCCTCGCCATCCAAAAAGAGCAGCTGCAGAGTCACCGGGGCTTCCTGTAGGAGCTGGTGGTCAGGGCCTGGACCCATCCACATTCCCTGCCCTCTTGCACAGCTGAGCAGGGAAAACTAGGTCTCCTCCCTCATAGAAGGTGGTGGCCGGAAGTACAGACTCTGAGCCAGACTGCCTGGGTTCAAATCCTGGCTCGGCTACTTCATAGCTGAGCAGTAATGGGTAAGTGACTTCTCACAGCATCAGATGTCAAAATGGGGTTAATAACAAGTCTCATCACACAGTAGGATTCAAATTCGGGTCCTGGCGTAGTGTCTGGCATATAGTAACTAAAAAGGGTCAGCTCTGATTGTCAGTGTTATTTCTTAGGCTCATTTAGCAAAAGAGACCCACACGCGAGTAAGTGTACAAACAGTGAAATACACTTGGGACAAATGCTTCCAAGAATTACAGCGTTCTCGGGGCACCTGGGTGGCTCAGTCGGACTTCGGCTCAGGTCATGATCTCACGGTTTGTGGGTTCGAGCCCCGCGTCAGGCTCTGCACTGACAGCTCGGAGCCTGGAGCCTGCTTCGGATTTGTGTCTCCCTCTCTCATGCCCTTCCCCTGCTCACACTCTATCTCTCTCTCAAAAATAAATAAACATTAAAAAAAGAAGAAGAACTATAGGGTTCTAAAAGAGCATAGGAAGGGAGTCGGGGATAAACTAGCCTGGGAAGCACGTCGGGTCTCCTGGGAAGAGACATTTGCACCGAGATGAGTGGGAGCTGGCCTGGCAGAATGGAGCAGAGGGAAGAGTGTCCCCAGGCAAGGAAGCAACATGGATGAGGGCTGGGGCCAGAGCCAGAGAGCTTGGTGAAAAGGCCCAGGGGGATTAGCAAGGGCCTTGTTACAAGGGGTTGAGCCAAGGAAGGGGTCTGAGCAGGGGAGGAGCATGAGGAGATTTGTGGTTTCATTCATTTATTCATCCCACACAATTCCCCCGACATCCTAATTTATGCCGGGTAATCATCTGGGCGCAGGGAATACAGCAGAAAACCAAGGCAGCCAAATCTCTGCCTGTGTGGAGCTTATTCTAGTTGGGGAGACAGACAAAGCGCCATAAAGCCTGGGATGGTGACGGGGGGGCTCTTTCAGGGTGGTTGGAAAACCATCTCAGAGGGGGTGACATTGGAGGACACTTGGGAGGAAAGGCAGGAGCCAGCCGGGAAGGTATCTATGAAAAGCACATTCTAGGCAGAGCAAAGAGCAAGTGCAAACACCCTCAGATGGGAGGGACTCTGGGAACTCTCCAGAATCTGAGGAACAGGGAGGAGGTGGGTGGCTAGAGCACAGTGAGGAGGGACAGGGGTGAGAAATGGGAATGGAGAGGTGACAGGGCACACCTCATGGGCCTCTGTAAGGACTCTGGCTCAGGCTTGCAATGAGGTGGGAGCCCTGGGGAGGGTTTCGGGCAGAGGAGGGACAGGATCTGACATTCAGGGGGTGAAAACATCCCTGTGGCTATGTGTGTGGAGTGGAAGCAGGAAGACAAGTCCAGGCAGGGGAGGCTGGTGGCTTGGACCAGGGTAGAGGCAGCCCGGGCCCCCCACTCCTCACCTGCTCCTTGGCTCTACTCAACTCCCTGTCCAGGGCCTGGGCCAGCTCCAGCAGCAGGGCGCAAGGCACGGCCGAATCCGTGGCCCCCACAAAGGGAGCCGACCCAGATGGGAAGAGCTTGGAGTCGTAATGGCAGGCAAGGGTGAGGTGACGGGCAGCCCCTGGGTCCAGCGTGGCCACCACGTTGCCAAAGTCCAGTGGCCCCAGGGGTGTCGAGGCCGTGAAGGGGTCCAGTTCCACATGCCAGCCTGCCGTCAGGGTCCGTAGGGTAGTCTCCAGGAACTAGTGGCAGGAGAGAGGTGGGAGGGTGGGTGGGGACTGGGGAGGAGGTCGGGAGAAGGGCCATGTGACCTGAGCCATGCAGAGCGCTTGGGCTGACTCATGATCCCCACTTCTGTTTAAGTCATTCCCTTGACACACTTGCTGAGTCCCTACTGAGTGTGTGTAGTGACCCTGCCTCTTCAAGACTAATCCCAGCTCACTCTTCAATAGCACTCACTGCGTGCCACGCCTCATTCTAGGAGCCTTATGGGGATAGGACTGTCGATGGCTCGCTCCATTTCATAGATGAGGAAACTAAGGCACAGAGAGGTTAAGACACTAGTCCAAGGTCACACTCCAAGTGGCTGAGGTCGGATATGAACTCTAGGAGTAGGGATTCAAACGACTCTGGATGCCCCAAAGGGAGGCAATACAAAGATGTTGTTGTGCCAGCTCTGGAGCCAACCTGAAACTTGGTATATCATTTATTAGCTGGGCAAAATGCTTAACTGCTCTGGGCCTCAGTTTCCCCATTTGCATAGTGAGGATCACATTGTTACGCACCTCATGAAACAGTTGTCTAGCACTTAGTAAGCTTTGGGGAGCAGTACAGAAGGCAGTACAGCCTGGTGGTTACTAAAGTGGGACTCTAGATTCAGATTATCCCCAGTCAGAGCCCCAGCTCTGCGTCTTAGTTGCTCGAGGGATCTTGGGCAGAATGCCTAGTTCTTATTCCCTGGCAGGCTGCCAGGTCAGGGCTTGGAGGTGGGGCCCCTTACCTTTCTGACTTGGAGATTGCCGGCGCTGCCCGGGGTCCGCACAACCAGCAGGGGGCGCAGGTAAGTGTTCCAGAGACGGTGTGGGTCCAGTTGCCCCACCACCCTCCGCAGCCGGGCTTCAGGGAGGCTTCCGATCAACCGGCCCTTGGGAGGGGGGTAAGATAGGGAAGAGAAGTGCAGAGCATGAGAACAACCCCCATACCGACCCTACCCCGGAGGCCACCTCCCCTAAGAACCCCGGTTCTTCCTAATTCGGGCCTCCAGCATCGGAGGTTTCCAGGATAAATCCTAGATAGACTCAGAAAAGGTCCCTCTAAAATCATCCGGTCCCTCAAAATCCATCAGATTGCCCACCCCAATCCTGACTGGGAAATCGAGGCCGAGAGAGGGGAAAGGACTCTTCCAAATGGCTGACTTTCAGATTGGAACCCAGAACTCCCAGTCTTACTACTTCCAGACTCTTCCTCTGAGGGAGAACCACCTATTACAGAACAAGCCCGATAGCAACGGGCATGCGCTCTATTGACGGAGACCGCAGCACCTGCGGCTACCGCCGTACGATACAGACACATCCACCTGAGACCTCACGGAAGCGCAGGCGGGGTTAAGGGGTACCCGTGTCCCTGCCCAGCCTCACCCGCAGCTCCCGGCCCCGAGGCAGCTCCTCAGTCTGGCGGTGCCAGCCGCTCCAGATGGTGTAGAACGCCGAGGCCACGGCCAGGGACAGCAGAAGCAGAGGCAAGAAGTGCGCCCGCGGTAGCAGGCGGCGCTTGGGCGGTGAGGGTGGCTCCAAGAGGCCACGTTCCCCCAGCCGTAGCCGGGGCCGCCCGCGGCCCCCGGAAGGCATGGCAGCTTCGCCCTGAAACCGGTCCGGGACCGCGGATAGTTTAGGCCCAGCCAAATCCCACCCCATGGAATCACCGGACCAATGAACAAGAAGAGCGACTACACCATCCCACCCTTTCTCTACGGGTGAAGCCAATGCGGACTCTCGTTCTGAGAGCACGCCTTCCTGTCTCCCTAGGGCTTTGGGGGTTGGTCCCCTGAGGGTTGCACAACCCAAAAGGGAGCGCGAAAGGCATAGGCTCCACCTCAGCGGAAGAAGGGAAACCAATGAGAAATGTTTGATCATGGAAAACATTCGACCTAGGCGCAGGTCCACGCCCCTCGTGTATGAAGGCAAAGGATTGGTTACTCGGAGTCGGAAAGCTCAATAGACCCGAAAAGGACCGTCCCTAATGGAAAAGGGGCGGTGTCCATCCCTGAGGCGAGGAGCCGATTGGCTTCGCGGAGGCCGCGCCCCCGGAGGCAGGGCCGGCGGGCATTTGGAATGGCGTGTCCTTTCCCTCCTTCAGCCTGTGCCACTCTACAACGAAGTGATTTGCGTCGGACCCGTTTCTTCTCTCCATTCTCGTGAATATCTGCCCCGTACGGTCCTAAAAGACCTGGAACCACTACGCGAGGCTTCTACTCCACCTCCGCGCAGGCCTGGCGCGGATCGCTATGGCAACAGGCCACGCCCCCACCCCCCCCTGGTTGGGAATGCGCAGGCGCCAACGGAAGTGGACCAAGGGAAACGGAAGTCCCTTCTGTAGCTCTGGTTTCAGAGGCAGGAGCAACGCGGACGAGACGGCGCTGAACTGAGAGCGCAGCCACTACCACCATGTGAGGCCGGGCTAGGCTTTGGCGGCGGGAGTGGGGTTGAGGGCGTAAATGTAGCCGCTTATCAGTGATGGGCAGAGGCGGGACGGAGGCAGATTTTAGGGGTAAAGTACGCACCTTTCCACCGGTGAGATTGAGGGCGGGCGTGGGGCCCTTGATGGATCCTAAATTCGGGAGAGAAGGTAGCTTTGTCAGATAATAGGCTAGGAGCTTTCCCAGAGAATTAATCTTATTGAAATAGATTTTAAGGGGAAGAACCTGCGAAAGGGGAGTGCGGAGTTTTAGAAATAACGGTTTGAGGCATGGGACTTAGCCGGACAACTAGAGCTGGAAACGGTTGGCTTTTCACCTATTTCGTGACTTTTTCGACTAACGAGTCGCCGTAATGATTTCACTTGTTTATTTATTCATTCGTCAATTCCTGAGTGCTCATGTATCAGACACTGCTTTAGACACGTGAGATAGATATATCAATGAGTAGCACTCCCCACCCCGCAAGGGAAAAAAAAAAAACAAACCTGCTGCGGCTTATGGGGTGAGCAGAGGCAGGCAATAAATACACTGATAATAAACATGTAAAGCATATGGCATGTTAGGTGACCAGAGCTGTGAGTAAAGAAACAATAGAGCAGGGTAAAAAGAATGGGGAATGCCAGTTTTGAGAGAGATTAACTTAATAATAAGTGCAGAAGGACACATTGAGAGGGCAACACTTGAGCAAAGACCTGAAGACAGAACCACAGAGATAATCTGGGGAGGTATCCAGGCTGACGGAAAACAAATGGAGAGGCCAAAGGTGAAAGTTTGCCTAATACCTTAAAGGACCACCTAGGAGGCCCCTGGTTGGAACTGGAGGTATGGGGCAGATGCAGGACATTGTAAAAAAAAACAAAAAACAGCTGGATTTTACTTTTTACAGAGATGGGAGCCATGGGAGGGTTTTGAAGAGTGCGATGATATAACTTGGGTTTTGATACAACATCCAGGACTACTCTGGAGAACAGACTGTCCGGGAGCATGGGTGGAAGCAGAGAGACAAGTAAGGCTCTGAGGAGCGAGATGGCGGAGGTTTAGGCCATGGTTAGAAATGGTGACGTTCTGGATGTATTTTGGAAGCAGATGGCAGGGTTTGCCGACAGATTGAATGGCGGATGTGAGAGAGAAGAGTCAAGTTGATACCAGAGTTTTTGCTCAAGGAACTAGAAGGATGGAGACAGGGAAGGCTCTGGATAGAGTAAGTGGGGGCGGTTGGGAGATCTGGAGCTCAACCGACGATGTGTAAAGTTGGGAATGTCTATTAAGCATCTGAGCTGTGATGCCAAGCGAGAGGGGCTGAGCAGGAGGGTGGGCGTGTTAGGGGAAGGTTGAGGAGACGCTGAGTGCAAGGCCATGTGACCACCCATGCTCCAGCTCTGGGCCCTCTCACCTACCGCTTCCATACTTGCCCCCTCAGGAGCCTCCTCAACAAGCCCAAGAGTGAGATGACCCCCGAGGAGCTGCAGAAGCGGGAGGAGGAAGAGTTTAACACGGGTCCGCTCTCTGTGCTCACGCAGTCGGTCAAGAACAACACCCAAGTGCTCATCAACTGCCGCAACAACAAGAAGCTCCTGGGCCGCGTGAAGGCCTTCGATAGGTAAGCACCTGGCTCTTGGAAGGTGTTCCGTCCAGGCCTGCAGAGGCGGCCCCAGCTCCAGTATGAGGAGCCCAGACACAAGGTTTTCAGAGTCCTGGGGCATAAGCCTCTTCAGACCTCGAGGTGTGCAGTACAGTAGTTAACGGGCATGTACTTGGGAGCCGGTCTTCCTGGGTTCGCATCCCAGCTCTGCCTCTTAGCAGCCGCGACACCTTCGGCAACTCACTTTCTCTCTTCCGTACAGTGGCAGTAATTCTGGTGGTTGCAAAGATTCCATGACTTGATACACGCGGCATCTAATCAAGTCATTAGAAGTACAGCATCTGGTGGGGCGCCTGGGTGGCTCAGTCAGTTGAGCCTCCGACTTCGGCTCAGGTCATGATCTCATGGTTCGTGAGTTTGAGCCCCGCATCGGGCTCTGTGCTGACAGCTCAGAGCCTGGAGCCTGCTTCTAATACTGTGTTTCCCGCACCCACTTGTGCTCTGTCTCTGTCTCTGTCTCTCTCTCTCAAAAATAAATACACATTTAAAAAAAAATTAAGGGGCGCCTGGGTGGCGCAGTCGGTTAAGCGTCTGACTTCAGCCAGGTCACGATCTCGCGGTCTGTGAGTTCGAGCCCCGCGTCAGGCTCTGGGCTGATGGCTTGGAGCCTGTTTCCGATTCTGTGTCTCCCTCTCTCTCTGCCCCTCCCCCGTTCATGCTCTGTCTCTCTCTGTCCCAAAAATAAATAAAAAACGTTGAAAAAAAAATTAAAAAAAAAAAATTAAAAGAAGGACAGCATCTGGCACACAGAAAGCTCTTAATCAGTGTTTGCGGCTATAACATGGAATGTCTAACATCAAGTACCCATGCTTGGGACTTTTTTAGGCTCCAGAGACACAGCAGTGACTAAAGCAAAGTACAGGATAGCTCCTGTACTCAGAGAGCTTGTGCTGTAGGTAGGGAAGCCGACGGCAAGCACATGAATAAGGTGTCATGAGAAAAGTAAAGCCAGGTAAGAGTATGGAATGCTGGGAAGGGGGTGCCATCCTAGATGGTGATGTGAGAGGCCCCATAGGAAGAGGCAGTGGTGAACACCCGAATAAAATAAAGGAACAAGCTAGGATCTGAGAGTTTCAGCCAGAGGGAACAGCAAGTGATTTTTTCCTCTCTGAGCCTCAGTTTCTTCTCCAGGAGGTTGAGACCGAGACCAGGAAGTGCTGAGCCCAAGGAGGCAGGTAGACCTGGCCTTGAACACAGGCTCTGCCACTTCTAAAATGTCATCCCACTGTGCGCAGTGTCCTGCTCTGGAAGCCGGAGATGACACTCGTGTTTACCTCCCGGGGGTAACAGTGAGGATTGCTGGGTCAGTGCTCAGAAAGTGCTCAGAAGAGGCCCGGGCGCTTGATAAGCGCTCAGTAGGTGGTGGTTCGTTTCTATGTAGGATATGTATTTTATTATATGTTTTTTATGTATGATATAGATCAGCCTCCCACCCTAGTATGTATCCTGCCACATGTGACTCACACACACACCCGGGGGCTCCTTCGTGGTGTTTGCCGACAGCTTTATTGAGGTCTCATTGGCATGTCGTCGTTGTCGTGAATTTAGTTGGTGTTTTTTTTTTGTTGTTGTTTAATTTTTTTAACGTTTATTTATTTTTGAGACAGAGAGACAGAGCATGAATGGGGGAGGGTCAGAGAGAGGGAGACACAGAATCTGAAACAGGCTCCAAGCGCTCAGCTCAGAGCCCGACGCGGGGCTCGAACTCACGGACCGTGAGATCATGACCTGAGCCGAAGCCGGCCGCTCAACCGACTGAGCCACCCAGGCGCCCCAAATTTAGTTGTTTTTAAGATAGAATCTTCCACGTGCTCTTCTGCGTCTTGTTTTTCACACATATCCGTGGTCTGAGAACATCACTGCAGGTCAGCGAAGGCATTCTTTTTTTTTCTTTTTTTTTTTTTTTTAATGTTTATTTATTTTTGACAGAGAGAGAGAGTGTGAGCAGGGGAGCAGCAGAGAGAGAGGGAGACAAAGAATCGGAAGGCTGCCTTCCCCAGGAAGCCCTCCATGGCAAATTCCTCGGGTCTCCTTACGTGTTCTCATGCAGACAGACAGAGGAGGGTGCTTTTTCTTTATTTTTAAATCACTGCTGGAGCACCTGGGTGGCTCAGTCAGTTAAGCCTCTGACTCCTGATTTCGGCTCAGGTCATGATCTCGCGGTCCGTGGGATCGAGCCCCGTGTCGGGCTGTGCGCTGACAATGCGGAGCCTGCTTGGGATTCTCTCTCTGTCTTTCTCTCTCTCTGCCCCTCTTGCATGCCCCTCCCCTTCAAAAAAAATAAACAAACTTTAAAAAATAAATCCGTGCCAATGGCCTACCACGCAGTTTTAGACCTCGGCTTTTTCACTTAACGGTATATCTCAGGAATGTTTCCATATTGGTACACTTTTTTTTTTTTTTTCCAAGTGCTAATGTGTTCACATCATTCCAAAAACAGTAATAGCACTCCAGTGGCAAGTTTCCATCTAGCTTGTCCCCAGTCCACCTAGGTCACCTTACTGCTCCCAGTCTCTGAGCGTCTTCCAGGATTCTGCATTGTACAATGCCAAGCGGGTGGTATATATGCTTCTCCTACCCTCTTTCTTCCCTTCAGAAGATCACTTTCCATGCACACTTGGCCTTTTTCACTCAGCAGTCCCTCCTGGATATCACTCCATAGCAAGGCACAGAGTTTCCCTGCTGCTGCTCCTCCTCCTCCTCCTCCTCCTCCTCCTCCTCCTCCTCTTCGTC